TCTTGTCTATTAGCAACGTTAAAAATTATTTTCTGAAAATATTTTTTAATTTTCCAAAAACTGTTATACAAAATTTTTAAACTGTTATACCACAAGTTTTCATTTAAAAACTCTTTTTATAAATATCTAAGCCAAAAATAAACTTAACTACTTTATAGGAAAATATAAAATTTGCAGTTTTGTTATGAAAAAAAATTGCCTATAAATGATGTTGCAATTACGAAACTGTTATACATATTCAACATGCTCTTATACTGCATAATAAGCTTTTAGTAACACTGAAAACTACTTTCAGAACATATTTTTCAATTTTTCCAAAACTGTTATACAAAATTTTTAAACTGTTATACTGCATGTTTTTTCTCAAATTTTATAATAAATATCTAATCTAAAAATTTACCTAATTAAACGTTTTTGCTCTCCTTGTAAAACTGTTATACAAGTTTCATTTAATAAGAAATGTACGAAGATCAATTTTATCAGTGAAATAAATTTTATATACTGTAATACTGTATAAAATTGGATATTTAGTTTCAACAGCGTTAAAAAATATTTTTCGAACATTTTAATATTTTACCAATTTTACCAAAAATTTTTAAACTGTTATACTGCAAGTGCCATCAGTGCCATCAGATACTGTTATACACACACACACATATTTTTTTTAAATATAACTGTTATACTGCAATTATTTATATATAAAACTCGTTAGATTTTTGCCTTTAGGTAACAGGTCATTGTATTTTTTTTTAATTCCTAAAAGCTTTTACTTGTTCCTACAATGAATCATTTGAACATAACTGTTATACACATTTACAAACTGCTATACAGAAGTTTTAAATTTGAGAAACCAGTCTAGTTTACGAGTATGCACATAAAAACAAACAAATTTATATGATTTTGCTTAATTTATAACTGTTATGCTACTGTGAAAAACTGTTATACTTGATTTCATGCTAAGGAATTTTATAGATTTCTATTGGTTTTTAAGAAATAATGAAATTTATGTCGTTTCCTAAAAATTTTTATAAAAATCTAACTGTTATACAAACTGTTGTACAGAAAAATTGGTATAAATTTAATCTCAATTTAGTTTTTTTTAAATTAATGATTTTTTGTCGTTCCCTACACATTTTATAAAAATCTTACTGTCATACAAACTGTGAAATACTGTTATACTTGATTTCATGCTTAGGAATTTTATAGATTTCTATTAGTTTTTTAAGAAATAATGAAATTTATATCGTTTCCTACACATTTTTAAAAAAATCTAACTGTTATACAAACTGTTATACAGGAAAATTTTGTATAAAAAATCCTCAATTTAGGTTATTTTAATGATTGTTTTCAATCTTAAATACTTTTTAGAACTGTTATACTACTGTGAAAAACTGTTATACTTGATTTCATGCTAAGGAATTCTATAGATTTCTATAGGTTTTTAATAAATAATGAAATTTATGTCATTCCCAAAATATTTTTATAAAACTCTAACTGTTATGCAAACTGTTATACAGAAAAATTTGCTATAAAAAATCTCAATTTTGGTTTCGCTTTAAATAAATGAATATTTTAATGATTGTTTCCAAATCCTAAATACTGTTTAGAACTGTTATACTACTGTGAAAAACTGTTATACTTGATTTCATGCTAAGGAATTTTATAGATTTCCATTGTTTTCTTAAGAAATAATGAAATTCATGTCGTTTCCTAAAAATTTTTATGAAAACCTAATTGTTATACAGGAAAGTTTGGTATAAAAAATCTCAATTTATTTTCATTTTAAATAAATGAATATTTTAAAGATTGTTTCCAATCTTAAATACTGTTTAGAACTGTTATACTACTGTCTAAAACTGTTATACTTGATTTCATGTTAAGGAATTTAATAGATTTCCACTGTTTTCTTAAGAAATAATGAAATTCATGCCGTTTCCTAAGTATTTTTATAAAAATCCAACTGTTATACAAACTGTTATATAGGAAAATTTGGCATAAAATATCGTCAATTTAGTTTTTTTTTAAATTAATGATTTTTTGTCGTTTCCTACACATTTTTATAAAACTCTAACTGTTATACAAACTGTCAAAAAATGTTATACTTGATTTTATGTTATGGAATTTTATAGATTTCTATTGGTTTTTCAGAAATAATGAAATTTATGTCGTTTCCTAAATATTTTTATACAAATCTAACTGTTATACAAAAAAAATTTTGTATAAAAAATCCTCAATTTAAGTTCGTTTTAAATGAATGAGTATTTTAATGATTGTTTTCAATCATAAATACTGTTTAAAACTGTTATACTACTGTCAGAAACTGTTATACTTGATTTTATGTTATGAAATTTTATATATTTCTATTGGTCTTTAAGAAATAATGAAATTTATGTCGTTTCCTACACATTTTTATAAAACTCTAACTGTTATACAAACTATTATACAGGAGAATTTGATATAAAAAATCCTCAATTTAGTTTCGTTTTAAATGAATGAATATTTTAATGATTGTTTCCAATCTTAAATACTGTTTAGAACTGTTATACTACTGTGAAAAACTGTTATACTTGATTTCATGCTAAGGAATTTCATAGATTTCTATTGGTTTTTAAGAAATAATGAAATTTATGTCGTTTCCTACACATTTTTATAAAACTCTAACTGTTATACAAACTGTTATACAGGAGAATTTGATATAAAAAATTTAATTTTAGTTTCGTTTTAAATAAATGAATATTTTAATGATTGTTTCTAGTCTTAAATTCTGTTTAGAACTGTTATACTACTGTTACAATCTGTTATACTTGATTTCATGTTAAGGAATTTGATAGATTTCAATTGGGTTTTAAGAAATAATGAAATTTATGTCGTTTCCTAAAAATTTTTATAAATCTCTAACTGTTATACAAACTGTTATACAGGAGAATTTGGTAAAAAAAATCCTCAATTTAGTTTCATTTTAAAAAATGAATATTTTAATGATTGTTTTCAATCTTAAATACTGTTTAGAACTGTTATACTACTGTGAAAAACTGTTATACGTGATTTCATGCTAAGGAATTTTATAGATTTCTATTGGTTTTTAAGAAAGTATGAAATTTATGTCGTTTCCAAAATATTTTTATAAAAATTTAACTGTTATACAAACTGTTATACTGGAAAATTTGGTATAAAAAATCTCCATTTTAGTTTCATTTTAAATGAATGAATATTTTAATGATTGTTTCCAATCTTAAATACTGTTTAGAACTGTTATACTACTGTAAAAAACTGTTATACTTGATTTCATGTTGTGGAATTTTATAGATTTCTATTGGTTTTTTAAAAATAATGAAATCTATGTCGTTTCCTATAATTTTTTTTTTAAAAATCTAACTGTTATACAAACTATTATACAGGAGAATTTGATATAAAAAATCCTCGAATTTAGTTTAGTTTTAAATAAATGAATATTTTAATGATTGTCTCCAATCTTAAATACTGTTTAAAACTGTTATACTACTGTGAAAAACTGTTATACTTGATTTCATGCTAAGGAATTCTATAGATTTCTATAGGTTTTTAATAAATAATGAAATTTATGTCATTCCCAAAATATTTTTATAAAACTCTAACTGTTATACAAACTGTTATACAGAAAAATTTGCTATAAAAAATCTCCATTTTGGTTTCGCTTTAAATGAATGAATATTTTAATGATTGTTTCCAATCTTAAATACTGTTTAGAACTGTTATACTACTGTGAAATACTGTTATACTTGATTTCGTGTTAAGGAATTTTATAGATTTTTATTGTTTTTTTAAAAATAATGAAATTCATGTCGTTTCCCAAAAATTTTTATAAAAATCTAACTGTTATACAAACTGTTATACAGGAAAATTTGGTTTAAAAAAATCTCATTTTAGTTTCATTTTAAATAAATGAATATTTTAATGATTGTTTCCAATCTTAAATACTGATTAGAACTGTTATACTACTCTAAAAAACTGTTATACTTGATTTCAGGCTAAGGAATTTTATAGATTTCTATTGCAATTTTAAGAAAAAATGAAATTTATGTCGTTTCCTAAAAATTTTTATGAAAACCTAACTGTTATACAAACTGTTATACAGGAGAATTTGTTGTAAAAAATCTCCATTTTGTTTCCTTTTAAATAAATGAATATTTTAATGACTGTTTCCAATCTTAAATACTGTTTAAAACTGTTATACTACTGTGAAAAACTGTTATACTTGATTTAATGCTAAGGAATTTTATGGATTTCCATTGTTTTCTTAAGAAACAATTAAGTCCTGTCGTTTCCTATTTTTTTTATAAAAATCTAACTGTTATACAAACTGTTATACAGGAAAATTTGGTTTAAAAAAATCTCATTTTAGTTTCATTTTAATGAATGAATATTTTGATGATTGTTTCCAATCTTAAATACTGTTTAGAACTGTTATACTACTGTGAAAAACTGTTATACTTGATTTCATGTTAAGGAATTTCATAGATTTCTATTGGTTTTTAAGAAAGTATGAAATTTATGTCGTTTCCTAAATATTTTTATAAAAATCTAACTGTTATACAAACTGTTATACAGGAAAATTTGATATAAAATATCGTCAATTTAGTTTTTTTTTTAAATTAATGAATTTCTGTCGTTTCCTACGCATTTTTTTATAAAACTCTAACTGTTATACAAACTGTTATAAAAACTGTTATATAGAAAAATTTGGTATAAAAAATCCAAAATTAAGTTTTGTTTTAAATAAACGAATATTTTGGTGATTGTTTCCAATCTTAAAAACTGTTATACGGGGATTTATGACGGCAAAAATTTGTTTAAATTAGCGCACATTTCATTTATGTCATTCTGTTATACTTTTTTTTGTCAACAACTACCAAAGCGTTATACATTCATGTTAGTATCACTTTAGCGTTTTTGTTTATTTTTTTTTTCTATTTAATAGCAATAGAATGACGTGGCAACGGAACGTGTTAAAAACACTGCACCTGCAATTATCATCATGCAGATGGTGAACACCTTCTCGTTGTCCGTCTCGGCGGCTACATTGCCAAATCCCACCTAGAATTAAAAAAAATGAAAAAAATGAAAGAAGAAAAAATTGAATATTAAAAAAGTTTTTTTTTTTTCATTTCGTCGGCTCTAAAAAAATGGAAATTGCACAAAATTCCAAGAGGTTCCTCAGGGGAATAATTTTTGTAAAAATGAAAAACGAAACGAAAACTTACCGATGTCATGCAAGTCATGGTAAAATACAAGGCCGTTACATACATACTCTTACGCGAGGGACCATTTATCAGTTCTGTGGAGTCATTATTATAGATATACGAATAGGGTGATTGGGTTACATTGGCCAACTTCCAAAGCCAGCTATATTGGATCTGAAAGAAAATTCGCGGGTAAAATTACCTTTTTCAGTACCAGGAGGAAGGGTGAGGGGTCAAAGGGCTTCTACTTACTCCATTATCGGCATCCGTTCGACCTATCGAATACCATATACATGCCAGCCAATGGGCTACCAACATATAGAAACACAGCAACAATATCAGCATGGCCGCCCCATACTCCAAGTAGCGATCCAATTTTCGTACAACTCTACCCAGTCGCAGGAGGCGAACAACCTTTAAAGCACTAAATAGCGAACCAATGCCGTCTTCATCCCTGTCAAAGGCATTGAAGACATCATATGGCAGGCAGCTGAGCAAATCAATAATGAACCATGATTTAAGATAATTCATACGTATCACCTTTGGATCGCTGACCACTTCGCCGCCAGGACCCACAAATGTTGTATGAAAATTTAAAACTAAAAAACGTAAAGGGGAGAAAGTGAAAACAGAAAAAAAAATTATTGGAGATTTTTAGCAGCGCAATGTTTGTCTGATATTTTCCGATGTCGCAACACGTTTTCACTGCAATGTCCGTGTTCTCTGTGCTCTTGTCAGCATTCCAAAATTGATTTATGAATTTATTCATAACCACTCCGGCTTTATGGGTTATGTTTATGGCAAGTGTAGTTTGTTTAGCAATGCATGTCTGTGATGCACAAGTAGATGCGGATGTTTTCGGTCTTACGGAAGGGGGAGCGAGAAAGGTGTGATGGAAGAATAAAACAAAAATGTCTGTAGAAGATGATTTGCTATGGAAATATTGCCAAAAAATCTTCCTGATTAATTTTTGAAACTGTTATACAGCACTATTTTTTTTTTTTTTTGATTAACAATTAATATTTAAAATGTCTGCAAAAAATGATTTTCTATGGAAATATTACCTAAAAAATCTTTTTAATTATTTTTTTAACTGTTATACAGACATCAAAACTGTTATACACCACTAATTTTTTCGATGAACATTAAATTTTAAAATGTCTGCAAAACATGATTTTCTATAGAAATATTAGCTAAAAAAATAATTTTGATAAATTTTTGAAACTGTTATACAGACATCAAAAACTGTTATACACCGCTATTTTTTCGATTAACATTAAATATTTAATAATTACAGTATTTTAACAATTTTTTAAAAATTTTCGAAACTGTTATACACTATTTTATTATTGAAAAAATTAAATATTTAATAATAACAATTTTTTAACAATTTTTTTTTTACATTTTTAAAACTGTTATGCTGCTTTTCAAAAGTATACACTCTTATAACAGAATTATAACACTGCAGCAATAATTCTGCACTAATAAAATTTCACGAAAAAAAAAATAAGAGTGTATAACAGTTTTGCATATCAGTATAACAGTTTCAAAAATCTAAAAAAATCGTTAAAAATCTGTTATATTTTTGTATGTCATTTTTTACATTTCTTAGAATGAAGTGTACTGATATACTGCTGTCAGAAACTGTTATACGGTCGTATTTATAACAAAACCCTTTGAAAGTGAATAATAATACATTTATAATTATCTTTGTTCGAAACTGTTATACAGACATCAAAAACTGTTATACACCACTATTTTTTCGATTAACATTAAATATTTAATAATTACAATATTTTAACAAATTTTGAAACGTTTTGGAAACTGTTATACTGCATTCAGAAACTGTTACACACTATTCTATTATCGAAAAAAAATTAAATCTTTAACAATTGCAGATTTTTAAAGGTTTTTTTTTCACATTTTTGAAACTGTTATACTGCAACGAAAAACTGTTATACTCTGTTATTTTTTCGTAAAACATTATTTTTGGCAATTTAAAGTATTCTCCAAAAAAATTCTTAAATTTCTGAGACTGTAATAAACTGTTATACTGCTTTTATAAACTGAGACTTCAAAAATGACTAAGAAATTTGTAAAAATTATTTTTTAAAGATATATTAAATTTTTGAGACTGCAATGGACTGTTCTACTGCTATTCAAAACTTTTATATGGTACAACATTTGCGAAGAACGTTATCACTGTAATACACAGCTATACTGTAAAAACTGTTATACAAAATATTTTTTTTTTGTTTTGAAAAAATATAATTTTTCATATATTTGAAAATGTTTTAAACTGTTATATCGCCATTTCAAACTGTAGCTTGCCTTTATATTTTCCGACAAAACGAAGAGATATGTATAAAATTGAGGTTACTATACTTTTCTATATTTTTTAGACTGAGACAAACTGTTATACTGTATAGGAAACTATGTCCATATTTTTTCCAAACAAGACTAAATATACAAAAAACGATTTTTTTAATAATTGTTGTTGATGATATTGAAACTCTCATAAACTGTTATACTAAAATTAGAAACTGTTATACACAGCTATTTATTCCAAAAGGGACTAAAATTTATAATAAAAACTAATTTTTAAATATTTGCGGCTGCAATAAACTGTTATATTGTTATCTGTAACTGTTATACACCATTGGATTTACTACAAAAGATAAAAAATTCAAATATTTACCACTGTTGGAATCTGTTATACTGTTATTTTTAACTGTTATACAATAATTTTTACGTGGAAAACGCTCAATGAATAACATTTCCAATGTTTTTTAAGGGTTTTTTTTTTAAACTGTTATACTGCTATCAAAACTGTTATACAAAATTAGTTTTTGAAAAAACCTTAAATTTTCTAACAATAATAAACCTTATACGATCTCTTCACTGTTAAACTGTAATATACTGCTATACAGCTATTAAAAACTGTCAGGGATTTATGCTAGCCTTAAAATAAACTGTTATACCAAAAAAAGCTAAATTGAGAATCTTCGTGATATCAGGAAAAAATACTATTTCTTGTGGTTGCAGGCGACACATGAAACTGCTATAAACTGTTATACATCCAAATGTTGGGCAAACTATTTGATTTTTTGTGATTTGAGGGAATCTTGACAAGATGAAGCTTCATTTTAAGAAGTTTTGGTCAATTTCAAATCTGTTATCTGTTATAAACTGTTATACTTAAAAAAAATTTAAAAATTTTTTATATTTTCTTTAGTTTTTATGATTTAGGGGAGTTTTAATAATAAAATTATTAATTCAAGGAAGTTTTGCCCAAATTTATGATATTTACGAAAAATTATATTTTTTAAGGATTTTTGGTCCCATAGGAAACTGTTATACTGCAAATTTTGGGGAAAATTCATTTGATTTGTACAATTTAAGGGTATTTTTCTGTGAAAATGCTTAATATAGTATAATTATGCTAAAAATCGTAACTGTTATAAACTGTTATACTTGAGAAAATTTCTTCAAATTAGGATTTTTTTTCGGGATTTGCGATCATATATTAAACTACTCTAAAATTTTATTCTTGAAAAAATTAGGGCAAATGTAAACATTTCTTCAGCTTTGAGCAAAAATATTTACTATTGGTTTAATAGAAAACTGTTATACTTGGAAGGTTTGGTGAAAATACATTTGTTTTGTATAATTTGGCGGAAACTTTCGGTGAAAATGCTTAATATAGCGAATTTATGCCCAAATTTCAAACAATTATAAACTGTTATACGGGAGAAAATTTCATCCAATTTAGATTTTTTCTTGGAATTAATGAATATACTGTTTATAGAGATTTTTGATTACATACAAAACTGTTATGCTTATAAAATTTTACTCCTGAAAAAATTGCACCAAATAAAAGGTTTATTTATGATATTTACAACTAATGATATTTTTAGGGATTTTTGGTCCTATAGAAAACTGTTATACTTGCAAATTTTGGTGGAAATACATTTAATTTGTATAATTTAACGATATTTTTCAGTTAAAGTGTTTAATATAGCGATTTTAAGCTAAAATTCAAAACAGTTATAAACTGTTATACTCGGAAAAAACCAGTAAATTTCGTCTTTTTTTCTTGGGATTAATAAAAATGTAACTTCTAATGGTTTTTTGGTCACATATGAAACTGTTATAAACTGTTATACTTTAGTAAAGTTAATCAAATGTTTTTTGCTGATCCAATTTGAAACTGTTATAAAATGCATAGTTTAGTGAAATTTGGACAAATTCGAAACGGTTATAAAAACATAATTTTTAAAAATTTTTCATGAAATTTAATGATATTTTTAGGGATTTTTGGTCTTACAGAAAACTGTTGTACTTGCAAATTTTGGGGAAAACACATTTATTTTGTATAGTTTGAGATTATTTTTGTGCGGAAATGCTTAGTTTAGCGAATTTTTGCTCAAATTCGAAACTATTATAAACTGTTATACTTGCAAAAATTCTCCTGATTTTTTTCTTGGGAATAACAAAAATTGTTTTTTAATTGTATTTTGGTCCCATATGAAACTGTTATACTGTTATAAACTGTTATACTGGCATAAAAAGTATTAAATTTCTTATTCTTTCCTTGGGATTAATAAAAATTGAACTTCTAATGGTATTTTGGTCACATATGAAACTGTTATAAACTGTTATACTGTAATAAATTAAATCATATTTACAATTTTTTCTTCGGACTATCACAAAGAAACCATTTGCGTTGTTTGCTGATCCCTTTTGAAACTATTATAAAATGAATAGCTAGTAAAGTTTGGACAAATTCGAAACGGTTATAAAAAAAATTAATTTTTAAAAATTTTTCATGATATTTTTAGGGATTTTTGGTCTTATAGAAAACTGTTATACTTGCTAATTTTTGTGGAAAATTAATTTATTTTGGTTCATTTAAGGCTACTTTTGTGTGAAAATGCTTAATATAGTGAAATTATGCTAAAATTCGAAACTGTTATAAACTGTTATACTGGAAAAAAATTCACTAAATTTCATATTTTTTCTTGGGATTAACCAAAATGCTATTTTTAATGGTTTTTTGGTCACATAAGAAACTGTTATAAACTGTTATACTGCAACAAATTAAATCAAATTTTCAATTTTTCATACGAATATCATAAAAAAACCCATTTGCGGTGTTTGCTGATCCCATTTGAAATTGTTATAAAATGCATAGCTAGTGAAATTTGGACAAATTCGAAACGGTTATAAAAAAATAATTTTTAAAAAATTTTCATGATATTTTTAGGGATTTTTGGTCTTATAGAAAACTGTTATACTGGCAAATTTTGGTGAAAATACATTAATTTTGTATAATTTAAGGATATTTTTCAGTTAAAGTGCTTAATATAGCGAATTTATGCTAAAATTTGAAACTGTTATAAACTGTTATACTTGCAAAAAATGCACTAAAATTCCAATTTTTTTTAATTTTTAAAAATTTTTCATGATATTTGTAGGGATTTTTGGTCTTATAGAAAACTGTTACACTTGCAAATTTTGGGGGAAACATATTTATTTTGTATAATTTAAGGCTATTTTTCTGTGAAAAAGCTTAATATGGTGAATTTATGGTAAAGTTCAAAACTGTTATAAACTATTATACTGGAAAAATATTCACTAAATTTCTTATTTTTTTCTTGGAATTAATAAAAATTCAACTTCTAATGGTTTTTTGGTCACATATGAAACTGTTATACTGGAACGAATTAAATCAAATTTTCATTTTTTCATACGAATATCATAAAAAACATTTGCGTTGTTTGCAAATCCCATTTGAAACTGTTATAAAATGCATAGTTAGTAAAGTTTGGACAAATTCAAGACGGTTATAAAAACATATTTTTTTTTAAATTTTTCATGATATTTTTAGGGATTTTTAGTCTTATAGAGAACTGTTATACTGCAAATTTTGGGGAAAACACATTTATTTTGTATAATTCAAGGTTATTTTTCTGTAAAAAAGATTAATATAGCGAATTTATGCTAAAATTTGAAACTGTTATAAACTGTTATACTGGCAAAAAATTCACTAAAATTCGATTTTTTTCCTGGGATTAACCAAAATGATTTTTTTAATGGTATTTTGGTCACATATGAAACTGTTGTAAACTGTTATACTGCAATAAATTAAATCGAATTTCCAATTTTTCACACGAATATCATAAAAAAACCAGTTGTGTTGTTTCCTGAACCCATTTGAAAATTTTTCTTATGACTATCACAAAAAAAAAAAAACAACATTTTTGTTGTTATTTGACCCCATTTGAAACTGTGATACATGGCTATTTTTGCTCATTTTTTAAATAAAATCTTTTTTTAAATTCTCATCATTAAATTTTTTCACACTCTTTTTCTCTAAGATATATCCCTCTTCATACGGACTTAATATTTGCCATAATTCGCCAGTATTTTAAGTGACTTCTTCTTCCTCGTCGGTACTCAAAAAATTCAGACATGTTAACGTGACACTAGCAAACATTTAAATCAAATAGCATTTTGTGGAGGAGCGAAGATATATGTCTTCCCAGAAATAGAACACCAGACCAGACCAAAAACGGATAAATTCGTTGTTATTGACAAAAAGGAAATTGTATAAAATTGAATGAGCTCTGATGATGATGAAGAGGACTTTTAACTAGAAACCTGGATAATGGAATTTCTATGAAAAGTACTGGAATTAACGAAGCCTGCAAAATGACTTCCTTTCATGTTGCTTTCATAGTTCAGTTCGGGGTGTGTGGCTAAGAAACTGACAACATCCGTTTCCGTTGCCAATATGAATTTATAATGACTGGGATTTTGTTTTTTTTTTTTGCATTTTGTCAGGCAGGTATGTATGAATGTTTTCTTCATAAGACAGCTTTACTGTTTCCGCTACATACATAAAACATGAAAAGCTGGTGGGTTTGTGTACATGGCGGTATATGATGGAAATGTATGTCGAGTGGTTATGTTAATAGTCTCTGTGGCTGAGTTGCTCTGGGTTGCTTTTTAACAAAATTTATGACATGTTGCCATCTTGAGATGAGTGCGGGGTGTGGGGAAGCGGCTGTTTATACTTACCAATATCAATAAAAAATATAACATCTACAATTGAATCAACAACAAGTAATGAAACATCTTCTGAGGTTTTATTTTTAAAAGCGACATTATATGGCACCTGAAAAGAAAAACGAAGAGCAAGAAAGAAATGACAGTAAACAAGCAGAAAATGTAATAGATAATAGATGTTAGGTTACAACTTAAAGACCTTTAAAGTGCTGTCATAGAAAACACTAGACATGGCTAAGTATAAACACTTGGCCCTTGGGAGATAAATAACAGCATCACAGACAACGCCACATGGCACCAGGGAAATTTATTAGACCCCTCCCAGGGAAAGATTGTAAATTACACCAGCCATGCCTAGAGATTATCACTTAATTATTCAAGTAGTTGTACTTGGGCTTGGCTCTGAACAAGCAAAGATAATGAATCTATGGCCTAAACATTTGTAATTTGCCATTTTGTGAAGGTGTGTGTGTGTGCGGAACTTTCTCGTTTGGCAATTTATGGGCTTTTCAGTGATGTAGCAATGGCGTCACATAAATCTCACAAATATATGGTGGGCAAAATAATCTGAAATATGCCTAAAATAATGTCCTTAAGCTAATTGAAGGGAATTGGAAAGTATACAGGAACAATTTCCTTAAGATTTTTTCCTTATGAAAATTTTGTATTAATGAACAATATGTTCGCTTATTTTTGGAGAAAAAATTTCGCAAATAGCTCCATAACAAAGAATGTTATGCCCAAAATACCAAAACAAGTCATAATTAAAATAAATCATACGCAGTGTGGTCCAAAGCTTAAAAATTGGGTTTGGCCCAACAAATTGCCACAGATTTATATGGGAGGAATATATAAGATAAAAAACATTATCCTTTAGACAATTAAAGGGAATTGGAAAGTATAGAGAAACAATTTGGTGGCTTATCATTAAAAATATCAATGTGGAAAAAATTTACTAAAAATTAAAACACAAAGTATCTACAATTTTTAATTATTTATCCTTTAGATTTTTTCCTTATAAACATTTTGTATTACAGAGCAATATGTTCCCTTATTTTACGTGAAAAAATTTCGCAAATTCCTCCATAACAAAGAATGTTATGGCCAAAATACCAAAACAGGTCATAATTAAAATAAATCATACGCACGGTGGTCCAGATCTTTAAAAATCGTTTTGTGCCAGCAAAATGTCGCAAATTTTTATGGGAGGAATATATAATATAAAAAACAATATCCTTAAGACAATTAAGGGGATTTGAAAAGCATACAGGGACAATTTGGGGGCTTGACGTTAAAAAGATCAATGTAGAAAAACTATAGGTAAAATTATTCCTCAAAGTATCTGAAAATTTTAATAATTTTAGCTCAGATTTTTAATTATGAACATTTTGTATTAAAGAACAATATGTTCGCTTATTTTTCGCTTGAAAAAATTTCGGAAATTGCTCCATAACAAAGAATGTTATGGCCAAAAAACCAAAACAAGTCATAATTAAAATAAATCATACGCAGTGTGGTCCAAAGCTTCAAAATTGGGTATGGCCCAACAAATTGTCACAGATTTATATGGGGGAATAAATAAGATAAAAAACAATGACCTTAAGCTAATCAAAGAGAATTGAAAAGTATACAGGAACAATTTGAGGGCTAAATATTAAAAATATCAATGTGAAAAAAAGTACTAAAAATTAATCCACAAAGTTTCTGGAAATTTTTATCATTTCTACCTCAAATTTTTTCCTTATGAACATTTTGTATTAGAGAGCAATATGTTCGCTTATTTTTCGTGAAAAAATTTTGCAAATTGCTCAGTAACAAAGAATGTTATGCCCAAAATACCAAAACAAGTCATAATTAAAATAAATCATACGCATAATGGTCCAAAGCTTTAAAACTCGTTTTGGGCCAGAAAATTGTCACAGATTTATGTGGGAGGAATATATAACATAAGAAACAATGTCCTTAAGACAATTGAAAAGTATACAGGAACAATTTGAGGGCTTAACATTTAAAAGATCAATGTGGAAAAAAATTAATCCACAAAGTTACCGCAAATTTTAATTATTTTTTATTTAGATTATTCCCTTATACAAATTTTGTATTAAAGAGCAATATATTCCATTATTTTTCGTGAAAAAGATTTCGCAAATCGACCCATATAAAAATATGTTATGCCAAAAATACCAAAACAAGTCATAATTAAAATAAATCATACGCACAATGGGTCAAAGATTTAAAATTCGTTTTGGGCCAGTAAATTGTTGAAAATTTTTATGGGAGGAATATATAAGATAAAAATCAATGACCTTAAGATAATCAAAGATAATTGGAAATTATACAGGAACAATTTGGAGGCTAAACATTAAAAAGATCAATGTGGAAAAAATGTAAAAAAATTTAATCCACAAAGTTTCTGGACATTTTTATCATTTCAACCTCAGATTTTTTCCTTATAAAAATTTTGTATTATAGAGCAATATGTTCCCTTATTTTTCGTAAAGTTTTCGCAAATTGCTCCATAACAAAGAATGTTATGGCCAAAATACCAAAGCAAGTCATAATTAAAATAAATCATGCGCATGGTGGTCCAAAACTTAAAAATTGGGGTTGGCCCAACAAATTTTCACAAATTTATATGGGGGGTATAAATAAGATAAAAACAATATCCTTAAGATAATCAAAGAGAATTGAAAAATATACAGGAACAATTGGGGGGCTTAACACTATAAAGATCAATGTAGAAAAAATGTTCTGATAATTAATCAACAATGTTCCTACCAATTTTAATATTTTTTCCTTTAGATTTTTTCCTAATGAAAATTTTGCATTAAAGAACAAAATGTTCCCTTATTATTCATGAAAAATTTCTCAATTTGCTCCATAACAAAAAATGTTATGGCCAAAATACCAAAAACAAGTCATAATTAAAATAAATCATACGCACTATGGTCCAAAGCTTTAAAAATCGTTTTAGGCCAGCAAATTGTTACAGATTTTTATGGGAGGCATAAATAACATAAAAAACAATGACCTTAACATAATCAAAGGGAATTGGAAAGCATACAGGAACAATTTGAGGGCTTAACATTAAAAAGATCGATGTGGGAAAAATATAAAATTAATCCGCAAAGTATCTGGAAATTTTAATTATTTTACTTTAGATTTTTTCTTATGAAAATTTTGTATTTTAGAGCAATATGTTCCCTTGTCTTTCGTAAAAAAAGAATCGCAAATCGATCCATAAAAAAGAATGTTGTGCCCAAAATACCAAAAACAAGTCATAATTAAAATAAATCATACGCACAATGGTCCAAAGGTTTAAAATTCGTTTTGGGCCAGCAAAATGTCGCAAATTTTTATGGGAGGAATAAATAAGATATAAACTAAACATAAAAAGGGTCAATTAGGGAGTCCTAGTCATAAAAGTAGCCCGTATAATATGTTATTTTGCAATAAATGAAAAAACTCCCTTTTTTATTTAAAAAAAAAAAAAAATATTTTTAGGAAATGTCACCAATTTTTTTTAATTTTGTATTTTGCCACGTTATGTTTTCTTATGTTTGGTGAAGAAATTACACAGATAACTCCTAAACTGAACAAGTTATAAGAAAAATACCAAACAAACTCAAAATTAAAATAAATCATACGCCCTATGGACCAATACTCTAAAATACGTTTTGGGGCAATATATTAACACAAATTTGTATAGAAAAAATATTCTTAAAATAAACCAGAGCATGGGTTAATTAGGGGGTCTTATTTTTGAAAATAGTTCGACTTTTTTCAGGCTGTTTTGAAATAAAAAAAATAAAATATCATTTAATCGATAAATAATAATTATTTTTAATATACGAAACAAACTTTCAATAATTTTTGTATTTTCTGAGATTATGTTTTCTTAAGTACGGTGAAGAAAATTCACAATTAGCTCCGCATCTGAAAAAGTTATGGGGAAAACTACGAAACACAATCATAATTAAAATAAATCATACGCAGCTATGTACAAAGTTTTAAAACTCGTTTTCCACCACTAATTGCCTAAAATTTATACACGACATCTAATGCCAGAAATATATCATATAAGAAAGAAGCAAAATTAAAAAAAATAAAAATTTCTTTACAAAAAAATAAAATAAAAAAATATTTTTTTCTTTTATTTTTTTTTTTATATTTTATAACCGCTTTGTAACAATAAATGTTATTGGGTATCCCTAACTTTTGGTAATTTTGTATTTTGCCATGATATGTTTTCTTAAGTTCGGCGAATAGCTCCATAACAGAAAAAGTTATGGACGGAATATCAAATAAAGTCATAATTAATATAAATCATACGCCCTATGGTTTATAATTCATAATTGATTCATAATTGGTTTTTGTCCAAGAATTTACCCAAAATGTATATGAGAGGTATATGTAGTATAAAAAACACAGATAAACCTTCAGTTAGTAAGTCTTGTGGAGGAAATTTTAAGGTTTCAAACTGTATTTGAATAAATTAAGTAAAACAAATAAATAAATCCATAAATGATATTTCCTGATATAGGTTTATTTTTTTCTTGTAATTTTGTATTCTGCTATGCTATATTACCTTAATCTTGGTGAAGAAGTGATTTAAAAAAGCTCTATAAATAAACAAAAGCTCTAAATAAAACACAAATAAATAATTACATAAAATCATACGCCCTATGGTCTGTAGCTCTAAAATAGAAGTTTAACGAACAAATTTGCCTACATTTATTTATAATGGATATTTAAAAGAAAAATGAATTCTAATGAAGGCAATCAGGATGTCTGATTCGGGATACAGTTAAAATTGTCATTCACTTTTAAGAAAATGATACCAAATGAAATATAATTTTTCGTTTCATTTTTTTTTCAATTTTTGAATTGAATTAATAAATGTGACTGCTTTTTCACGGAATTCTTTAATGGTGCAATTTTGTATTATTTTCGGTTATGTTTACTTTAGTTTGGCCAAAAACATCACTAAAATTGCTTCATAAATGTAAGAGTTATGAAGGAAACAAAATATCGCCCTGTAATTAAAATAAATCATACGTACTATAGTTCCTACAAGAAAACGTGGATTTTTACTAAATATTTTTATGAATTTGGAACCAAAAGTAGATCTGATTTCGAATTTGGTACGAATTTAGTACAGCTATTTCTAGGACGTAGTTAAAATAATAATTTAATTTTAATTTTATCAAATTTGTCTTTGCATGTTTTTCAAAATATTTGATAGAATAATTAAATATGAACATTTTTTTGAAGAATTCCTTAAATTCCATAATTTTGTATTATTTCTGAATATGTTTACTTGAGTTTGGTCAAAAAATTACTCAAATTGCTTTATAAATGTAAGAGTTATGAAGAAAACAAAATATCGCCCTGGAATTAATATAAATCATACTCACTATGGTTCCTACCAGAAATCGTTGGTTTTTAAGGAATATTTATGTGGAATAGAGTTAGTAAGTATATCCGATTTATATATATTTATATAAAAGTTAATTATAATTCATGATTCAATAAATACCAATTTAAATAAAATTTTTCGTTACATGTATTTTTAAATTTTGAATTGGATTTAGATATTGAAATATTTTGTTGACGAGATCGGTGAATGTGATAATTTTGTATTATTTCTGAATATGTTTACTTGACTTTGGTCAAAAAATTACTGAAATTGCTTCATAAATGTAGGAGTTATGAAGAAAACAAAATATCTCCTTGGAATTAATATGAATCATACGCACTGTAGTTCCTACCAGAAGTCATTGGTTTTTAAGGAATATTTTTATGAAATGGAAGCAAAAAGTATATCTAATTTCGAATTTAGTACAAAATTAGTGAAGTTATTGATAGGATTTTGTTAAAATAATAATTCTATTCAAATTTTATAAAATTTGTCTTCACATGTTTTTCAAAATATTTGATAGAATAATTAAATATGATTTTTTTTGAAGAATTCCTTATATTCCATATTTTTGTATTATTTCTGAATATGTTTACTTGAGCTTGGCGAAAAAATTACAGATATAACTTTATAAATAAAAGAATTATGAAGAAAACAAAAAATCACCCCGGAATTATTATAAATCATACGCACTATAGTTCCTACTAGAAATCATCGATTTTTAAGGAGTATTTTGATGGAATTGGTACAGTTATTATTGGCATTTTATATTAAGAATGATTCCAGCAAAATTTCAACACATTTTGAAGAGCCCTTATTCAATATTGGTAAAAAGCACCATCGTTAAAAAGGTGGATTTACATTAGATCACCAAAGTAACCATCAGATCTTTAACCAAATTTTTTAATTTTATTTTTTTTTTTTTTTTGAGGCATTTAAAGAATTTATTCATGCATTTTTTGTTTGAGTATTTCCTCTTCAACTCACCATAATTGCTGTATAAAATGTTAGACATAATATAACCCAATCCCATATGGCTTTAAATGCACAATAATGCAATAAAATGTGAGGTGGTGTTTTAGGCGCTTCCTGTCTATACTGGGGCATAATATCCGCACTAAGGGACATCATCTGAAAAAAATACGAAGGATATTAAAATTATGTATAAAAAAAGTTAACAAGTATTGACTCGCACTTACATGAGCCAAATTTGATTGTTTCGTTGGATCCTTTAGCGTTGGCAGATGTGCGCTGAATTGACGACTTCTCGTTACCGATCGGGCCAATTTCGCAAATTTCGATAGACCTAAAACTGGAAAGTTGAAAAATCAATTTGTCAAAACACACAGATAGACACTAAGAGACAGAGAGACAGTTAACACCGAGAAGGACAGAATGAAGAGAGAGAGAGAGACACACATACATCTATATAAAGAGAGAAAGGTAAATGGCTGGAGAAAATTTTAGTTAGTAATAAAATGCAAAAAAAAAAATCCATACAAGTTTTAATTTTTTTTAAAGTTGAAATAAAAATCATTCATAGTTTTTGAAAAAAAATCTCTTTTTGGAATTTTTGGGAGTTTTTTTTTCAAGTGAAGTTTTTAGTCAATTTACTTAAAATAATGCTCGAAATTATAAAAAAAAGTTAAAAATAAAAATTATTTTGTGAGAAATAATAAATATTTTATATATCTTCCCCCTTTGAGAAATTTATTTTCCGACGGGAAATTCATGTTCTTCTTTAAGGGAGAATTTTATCTTTTATGCTACACAGTCCAGGAAAAAAAATAATAACCGGAAAAATCCAGTAGATTATGGAAGTAGAGTTAAAAATTAAAGAAATCTGTATCGACGCTTTGAAATTTTAAATCGCAAAGTAACCTAAATAGAGGCTGCAATTTCTTCCCTCTTCAACATATCTTTGATACTCTTAAGGATTCCTTGGAATCCGATCATTTTAGGTAGATAAAATGTCTTTGGCCGAAGATTATTTTGGTCAAAAATTTTAATCCTAAAGAGAATCGTTGAAAGGGTACTCTATTTGGTACTTTCAAAATATGGTTCAAAACTCCGTTTAAATTTGGAAGTCAAAATATTTCGTAAATTTATTTGTCATAAAATTCTACTATAGGTTCCAGAAGGCATCAAAAGTCTTAGTCTTACGTAAATACCAGGAATTCAGGGTGAGATGAGAAAACTGCAACCAACTTCAGACTGCTGTCATTTCTAAGCCATTCATCAGACATCTGTTAAAATTATTCCAGTGACAGCTCATTATATTGTTTACAAACGTGCAAAAGCATTTTGGTGAGAGTTTTCCAGAAAAAAAAATTTCGGAATCCAAGCGTGATAGTGTGATTTCTTTATATTTGGCTGGAAAACCACAAGTGGCTATCGTTAGAGCAATCCAGCATTTAAATGTGAATAAATCTTTAGAGTCTCGTACCATCGCTCGTTACCGAGATACTGGTAGCGTAGCCCGACGAAGTCAAGGAAGTGGACGAAAGAAAACAGCAACATCAGCAGAAATGGTTCGAGAAGTAAAGAAGCGACTTGAACGAAACCCGCATCGCAGTGGTCGAAAAATGGCTCGTGAGCTGAACATATTGCAATATTCCTTCGATTCGGCAAATATTGAAAAATGAGCTCGGGTTAAAGCCAAGTGAAATTCCAAAAAGTGCAAGAACTTACACCACAACAGAAAGAAAATAGACTCAAAAGCCCTAAAGAGTTGCTTTGCTTGGCCGAACGTAGTGAACTGCCGAATGTGGATTTCTCCGTCGCGGATGAGAAAACATTCTTTGCCCAGCAGTTTGTAAACAAACAAAACGATTGTGTTTACTTGCCAAAGAGGTCAGCTGAAAATGTGCACCTTCGGTTGTCCACCAGAAGTCAAGCGCCGGTCATGGTGATGGTGTAGGCCGCCATAACAGCCGGTGGTCGTTCACCGCTCTTATTAATCGACCATGGCATCAGAAAAAATGCCGAATATTATCGCGAAAATATTCCGGAGGGTGATGTCGACGGGTTTTACATGATTATCGAATTGACGGCTTCAACCATGATGCACCATTGCACAGGCGTTGCGATACGATGCTTCGGCCAACGCCCCTTTGGAATTACCCAGAGTTCTCTTAGAAAGTGGTAGCCCTCCACAGAGTTCTAAATCTATTTCGCAGGTACCAATTCGAAGATCAGCTATATGGGCTTCACTTCCCTCTTGGAAAGGATTCTGGAGGGTTTATTTAAGCCTTGGGCACGCAAACATTTTGGCCGCATACCTTGAACATTCCAACAGGACTCAGCACCATAGCACCATCGCACTCAGCACGCGCCACGCAAGAATGGTTACAAAATGAGGTTCCTTGCTTCATTTCCAGAGCACAATGGCCACCAACAAAATCTCCGGATACCAATCCGTTGGCCTATTGTGTCAGGAGTATACTGGAAACCTAGGTTGGCACTAAAAAAAAATACCAAAGTGCTGATCACCTCAAGCAAGCGCTTCGCCCGGAATGGGCCAAAATACCGGATAGCAACAGTTGGGCAGCGCAGAGCAACATTTGGGCAGCGTGTGACGGTTTCATTGGCCGTTTGAAGTCCATAATTCGTGCCAAAGGTGACCAATTCGAACAAAATTAAACTTATTATAAATATCAGAAAAAATTCCGAATATTTTCGCGATAATATTCTGGAGGGTGTATTAAAGCCTTGGGCACGCCAACATTTTGGTCGCAGACCTTGGACATTCCCACAGGACTGTCCAACACCATCGCACTCAGCACACGCCACCCAAGAATGGTTACAAAATGAGGTTCCTCGCTTCACAGCAAGCCCAGCGCACAATGGCCACCAAAATCTACGGATATCAATCTGTTGGACTATTGTTCTTGGAGTATTTTGGATAGCAAGGTTGCCACTAAAAATACCAAATTGTCGATCATCTCAAGCAAGCGCTTCACCCAGGGAATTGGACAAAATACCGCAGAGCAACATTGGGGCAGCCGTTTAATGGCCATAAATCGTGCCAAAGTTGACCAATTCGAACAAATCTAAACATAGTCTAAAATTTGATGTTATTTCCGACATTTTTTTACTTTCATTCAATAAAATTTAAAAGACAAATGTAAAAATGATGGCGTTTGACTTTGTTGCAGTTTTTCTTTATCTCACCCTAAATACCGAAAATCAGAGGTTTCTATAGACTTTTAATTCGAAAATTTTCAAAATGTTGAAGTGGGCGGTGAAGGGACTTTTCCACTCTATTTATGTTATTTTGCAAGTGTTTTCTATTTTTCTATTTTTAGCTCTTCTTTCATAATCTGCTGGATTTTCCCACTAATTTTTATTCATAATATTTTTTTATACCCTACACCACAAGGTGGTCAGGGTATTATGTCTTTGTGCATTTGTTTGTAACAGGCAGAAGGAAACGAGATAGACCCATAGTTCCTTTTGATGATCTGCATAGAATCACATTCTGAGTCGATTTATGCATATCCGTCCGTCCGTCCGTCTGTCCATGTATTTTTGTAAACAAAGTACAGTTCGCATTTATTGCTCGATCCAGATGAAATTTTGCAGAAATCATATGTTTGGCCCAAGGACGAACCCTATTGAAATTGGAGATAATCGGTAAAAATATCCCATTTATATCTTCGTCCGATTTGCCTTTTATTGTGCACCAGAACGTATAATATCAGTCCGAATAGTATGGAATTTTGCCCATACAAACAAATTAGGACTGCAAATAAGTATGCCAAATTTGATCGAAATCGGTTCAGATATAGCTATAGCTCTCATATATATTCTTCATCCGATTTGTTATTTTTTGTACTCCGCAGTCGTAATATGCACTTTGTAACAACGATATTCGGGGATATATAACAAATACAGCTCAGAAATATCTTTGCTAAATTTTATCGAGATCGGTTCAGATTTGGATATAGCTCCCATATATAACTTCGTCCGATTTATATTTTATTGTGCACCAAACGTCTAATATTTGCTCAAATGGGATGAAATTTGGCACTTACGACTGAATTGAGTCTGAAAGTTAATATGTCAAATTTGGTGAAGATCGGTTCAGATATAGCTATAGCTCCCAAATATATTGTTCATCCGATTTGTTATTTTTGGTACTCCGCAGCCGTAATATGCACTTTGTAACTACGATATTTGGGGAAATCTATCAAATACAGCTCAGAAATATATTTGCCAAATTTTATCGAGGTCGGTTCAGATTTGGATATAGCTCCCATATATAACTTCGTCCGATTTGCCTTTTATTGTGCACCAAGCGTCTAATATTTGCCCAAATGGCATGGAATTTGGCACTTACGACCGAATTGAGTCTAGAAGCTAGTGTGTCAAATTTGGTGAAGATCGGTTCAGATATACCTATAGCTCCCATATATACTATTCACCCGATTTGTTATATACGTTACCCACAGCCATAATATGCACTCCGTAACAACGATATTCAGGGAAATATATCAAATACAGCTCAGAAATATCTTTGCCAAATTTTATCAAGGTCGATTCAGATTTGGATGTAGCTCCCATATATATCTTTATCCGATTTCAAATTAATTGTGCACCAAATGGCCAATACAAGTCCGAATTTAAAAGATACAAATGCTTCGGCATATTTAGTCTTTTTAACTTTAAATTATAATTATAATCATAGCGTGTATGATTGAATTCTCCCATAAAAACTGTTAATTGTTATGTGGAGCTTTACTAAATTAGCAAAGTGGTATAGGGTATCATAAAGTCGCCCCGCCCGACTTTAGGACTTTCTTTACTGTTTTTTTTTTTTTTTTTTTTTTTTTTTTGTAAATTAAAAAATCTAAAAATTGCTGATAAAACTGTCATTGATAGGAATTGCTTAAGGAATTTTCGAAGTAATATTTTTCCCTTTTGGAAATCCTATTTTCCGGTAGATTTTTTATTTTCTTTTATTTTTTCCATTTTCCAAAAAATAAAATCTTTTAACATCGAAAGAAATAAAATTCGCTAATAAAAATGTGTATAAAAAAAATTACTTAAGAAATTGGTCGAAATAATATTTTTCCCTTATGGAAAATGTATTTTCCTGGTAGATTGTGCAAATGAGGAAAATTGAGTGTTTTATGGATTTTTTCTGTGGCACACATGCATGCATTGCCCCGTACAAACCATTTTCCTAGAGAAAATAATTTAAAAAATAAGAATACATAAATGTTCTTTGTACATGGTATTTTTGGTTTATATACAAAATTTTCAACATACAGTGGAACCTCTCTAAAGGGGACTCTGGGAGGGCCAAAAATTTCTTTGGTATGTAGGAATTTCTTGAAGTGTTAATGAATATTTTTAAAAGCCCAAAACAATTGATTTTGCTTGCTATCCTCCTCTTTGGAGAGGTTCCACTGTATATATCCTTGAAGTATTATTTTTTTTTTTGTTTTGAAAAAAAAAAAGAACACGCACACACACAGTTACATTGAAATATTTACAAGTATTGAAACAAGAATTTTTGAGTAGGGCATTCTTTTTTTTTTTACTTACCACCTTTGGTATCTTCGCTGTCGATTGGCTGCTTGAGGGCGGTTATATCGCGAAATGTTAACAGGAACAACACAACCAGATCCCTTTCGTTGCGTATGGGTGCAACCTGCAGTAGCAGCCATAGTGGAGTTTCTGGAAAAAAGAAAACAAAAAAATAGGAAATTATTTTTTATATATTTCATGAAAAGGGGGGGGGGGGAGGTCTTAATAAAATTGGAAAAACTCAGTTAAAGGACTTTCAACAATTATTCAATCCTTTTAAAGATTCCTGGCCTTTGGGAAAATTTGAAAAATTTTATAATAAACCGGATTCTGGACCTGAGTATTTTTTTTTTAAATCCTTTAAATAAAAAATAAACGTGTACCAAAACAACTAAGTTCGACCTGGCCGAAATTCTAATACCATCCACAATTTGGAAGGAACTTGAAAATTTTCAAAAAATTACGAAAAATACCGTTATAACTTTATTCGGAGGCTATACGAAGACGTGTCTCTGCATAAGTATTTTTTGTCATAGGCTGTAGTACCCATTAACATCTTCAAATACGAAATTTGAAACAATTCCGGTGAATAATGTAGCTAAAATCATCAAAATACCGAATACCGTTATATGGGAGCTATACGAAGACGTGGACCTGCATACGAAATTTTTAGGCATAGGCTGTAGCACCTATTGTAAATTTCGAAAACAAAAATTTGTAAAGATTCGGATGGATAATGCGCTAAAATCATCCAAATACAGAATACCGGAAGGTACTGTTATATGGGGGCTATACGAAGACGTGGACCTGCAAACAAGATTTTTAGGCATAAGCTGTAGTGCCCATTTAAAACTTTGAATACGAAATTTGAAACAATTCGGGTGAATTTAGTCGCTACATCAATCAACAAAATACCGAATATCGGGAGGTCCGTCATATGCGTTCAGAAGGTCTTCTAACCATAGAAGAGCTTCTAAAGCACTTCTAGCCATAGAAGAGGTTCAGAAGGTCTTCTAACCATAGAAGAGCTTCTAAAGGTCTTCTAGCCATAGAAGATCTGAAAAAGGACTTCTAGCCATAGAAGAGCTTCAAAAGGTCTTCTAGCCATAGAAGAGCTTCAAAAGGTCTTCTAGCCATAGAAGTGCTTCAGAAGGTCTTCTAGCCATAGAAGAGCTTCAGAAGGTCTTCTAGCCATAGAAGAGCTTCAGAAGGTCTTCTAGCCATAGAAGAGCTTCAGAAGGTCTTCTAGCCATAGAAGAGGTTTAGAAGGTCTTCTAGCCATAGAAGAGCTTCAAAGGGTCTTCTAGCCATAGAAGAGCTTCAGAAGGTCTGCTGGCCATAGAAGAGCTTCAGAAGGTCTGCTGGCCATAGAAGAGCTTCAGAAGGCTTTCTAGCCATAGAAGAGCTTCAGAAGGCCTTCTAGCCATACAAGAGCTTCAGAAGGTCTTCTAGCCATAGAAGAGCTTCAGAAGGCCTTCTAGCCATAGAAGAGCTTCAGAAGGTCTTCTAGCCATAGAAGAGCTTCAGAAGGTCTTCTGGTCATAGAAGAGCTTCAGAAGGTCTTCTGGTCATAGAAGAGCTTCAGAAGGTCTTCTGGTCATAGAAGAGCTTCAGAAGGCCTTCTAGCCATGGAAGAGCTTCAGAAGGTCTTCTAGCTATAGAAGAGCTTCAGAAGGTCTTCTAGCTATAGAAGAGCTTCAGAAGGTCTTCTAGCCATAGAAGAGCTTCAGAAGGTCTTCTAGCCATAGAAGAGCTTCGGAAGGTCTTCTAGCCAAAGAAGAGCTTCAGAAGGTCTTCTAGCCATAGAAGAGCTTCAGAAGGTCTTCTAGCCATAGAAGAGCTTCAGAAGGTCTTCTAGCCATAGAAGAGCTTCAGAAGGTCTTCTAGCCATAGAAGAGCTTCAGAAGGCCTTCTAGCCATAGAAGAGCTTCAGAAGGTCTTCTAGCCATAGAAGAGCTTCAGAAGGTCTTCTAGCCATAGAAGAGCTTCAGAAGGTCTTCTAGCCATAGAACAGCTTTAGAAGGTCTTCTAGCCATAGAAGAGCTTCAGAAGGTCTTCTAGCCATAGAAGAAGCTAATCCAGAATATATATACTTTGTAGGGTCTATCATGAATATTTCGAGGAGTTACAGCGAAATGACAAAGCTAATATACCCTCCACAGAATGGTGGAAGTTATAAAAATATTTAAAGAAATTCTAAATTGCAATCATTTTAAGGACCCCTGGCCTAGCAAATTGTAATTATTTTCCAGAAAAAAAAATTGCAATAGATTCTATAAATAATAAAAATTGGTGGGCTCGGAGAAAAATTACGTACCTCAATTAGTTTTTAATCCTTCCAAAAAAAAAAAAAAAATAAATAAATAAAAAAATAAATAAATAAAAATAAAAAAAAATATTTAAAGGACTTCCAACAATTATTCAATCCTTTGAAGGACCCGTGGCCTTGAGGCAAAATTTAAATGATTTCCCAAAAACTAAAATATTTTTTTTCCAAGAAATTCTATAAAAATAAAAATTTCTGGGCTCCGGGATAAATAACGGACCTTAATAAATTTCCAACCTTTAAAGGACTTTTTAGCCTTTGACATGGATGCCACTGGCTTTAAAATTGCTTTGGTCAAAAAGTGGTGTCAGCAATTTAACAGACACCACAAACAAGTTAAACAAAAAAACATGTCCTACATCCTTCCCCATTTTCAAATTCCAATACCCTCTCCTCCACTCCATATCACCCCAAATCATTGGCGAACATTCAGCAAAAATTTGACTGCATGCATGCATGACATCCTGTGTTCTGGTCATTGCAAACACGACCATAAAATGCAACAATTCTGTAACTCGAACAACAACAACAGCATCTTTTCGGAGCTCCCCGAAATTGAGCCACAAATAAATCGTTTCCAATAACATGGTCAAACTGAAATGTCCATACAGGGTACAAGTAAGTTATGCTCCAAAGGACTCATGTCCTTACATCGAGCAGTTGTCATTCAACAAGGCATTGGCATGTAAGACTGCGGTTTTTCGTCTTTCTTCGGGCAACATTGGCACAGGCACAAAAATTCAATAACAAGGTGTGCATGATGGGCTATTTGGGGCCTTAAGGACTGGGCATGTCCTTGGCGCTTGAAAATTTAATTAAAAATTGTTTTCTTTTTTTGCAAAGAAAATCCAAAGAGGCCAATAAAATTGAAGAGCAAGAAAATTTTATGATTTTCAGCAGAAAAATTAAAAAAAAGAAATGCAGCGAAAACAAGAAATTTAAAACCCATAATCAACCCCTTATCCTGTGGATGTCCTGGCAGCGTTGGCAGGACGGGGCTTATCTCTTGTGGTGGAATCAATATTCATTCCCAATACTATAGGCAGTGCTGGAATAACTTTTTGATGTTTGCAACACATAAAAATTGAAAAAAATATTTTGATGTCAAAAAAATGTATAAAACGTATAAAATGTATAAAACGTCACAAACCTCAGAATTTGCATTTTTACATACTTCAGTGTAATGCATAGTGTTTTTTCAGGTTTACAACCATGAAAAGTGTGTAATAAACATATAATACCTGTGTATAAAATGTATAAAACATAGAAGGAGGTAAAAAATAACTTTTGTTTTTACGCCAATTTGGTGTACGAGATCCGGTTTAGGTTTACAACCACGAAAAATGTTTATATATCACAAATCAGATGTGTATAATATGTATAAAACTTGTAAAAAACGTAATAAAGAGTGTTCTTTATACTGCAATGGTATATTTTAGGTTTACAACTACAAAAAATGTATAAATTCAGAAAATGACATTTGTATAAAATGTATAAAACCTGTAAAAAACCTAATAATTAGTACTATTCATATACCAATGTACTGTGGGAGAATTATTTGAGGTTTGCAACCACAAACAATGTATAAATACTGAAAATTACATTTGTATAAAATGTATAAAACATGTAAAAAACTTAAAAACTAGTATTCATCATACTGCAATGTATTGTATGTGGGTTATTTTAGGTTTACACCCACGAAAAATGTATCAATACCGAAAATGGCATTTGTATAAAATGTATAAAACCTGTAAAAAAACTTAATAATTAGTACTATTCATATGCCAATGCACTGTAGGAGAATTGTTTTAGGTTTACAACCACGAAAAATGTATTAATACCGAAAATGACATTTGTATAAAATGTATAAAACCTGTAAAAAACTTAAAAATTATCATTATTCATATGCCAATATACTGTAGGAGTATTATTTGAGGTTTGCACCCACGAAAAATGTATAAATACCGAAAATGGCATTTGTATAAAATGTATAAAACATGTAAACAACCTCAATACCCTTTTTCTTAACGCATCAGTATATTGCATTAATACTATTTTGGGTTTACAACCACAAAAAATGTATAAATGACATTTGTATAAAATGTATAAAACGTGTAAAAAACTTAAAAATTAGCATTATTCAGAATTGTTTGAGGTTTGCAACCACAAAAAATGTATAAATACTGAAAATGACAATTGTATAATATGTATAAAACATGTAAAAAACTTAAAAACGAGTATTCCTCATACTGGAATGTATTGTGTGTGGACTCTTTTAGGTTTACAACCACAAAAATTGTATAATTACCGAATATGACATTTGTATAAAATGTATAAAACATGTAAAAAACTTAAAAATTAGTACAATTCACATGCCAATATAATGTAGAAGTATTATTTGAGGTTTACAACCACGAAAAATGTATAAATACTTAAAATGACATTTGTATAAAATGTATAAAACATGTAAAAAACTTAAAAACGAGTATTCATCATACTGCAATGTATTGTATGTGTGTTTTTTTAGGTTTACAACCACAAAAAATTTATAAATGCCGAAAATGACATTTGTATAAAATTTATAAAACCTGTAAAAAACCTCAATATATTGTTTCTCAACGCATCATTAAATTGTATGAAGATGATTTTAGGTTTACAACCACAAAAATTGTATAATTACCGAATATGATATTTGTATAAAATGTATAAAACCTGTAAAAAACTTAATAACTAGTACTATTTATATGTCAATGTACTGTAGGAGAATTATTTGAGGTTTGCAACCACGAAAAATGTATTAATGCCAAAACTGACATTTGTATAA